CTGCTCTGCTCCCTCCTGCAGACCCCAGTGATGCTGCACACAGTTGGGGTGCCCTAGACAGAGCCTGCTCTGCTCCCTCCTGCAGACCCCAGTGAGCAGCTCCTCCTGCTCAACGGCCAGGGATGGTCCTTGAAGAGATGCGGGCAGCGTGGAGGGCCCAGGCCAGTGGCCACAGCATGCTGTCCGTGCCCCAGACGAGGGCACAGGTTCCTCCCTACAAGGACACCTCCTGGAGGAGCCACACTCCAGCCCCTTCTGGAGTGGGATTCTGGAGGTGGGCTGGCTGTGGGGACCCAGCTCCTGTGAAGCTCCCTCAGCAGAGGACTTGACCCCAGTTCCGTGAAGTCTGTCACAGCTGCTAAGGCTGGTGGGGTGGAGGGCTGCAGTCACTGCTGCTGTGAGGACTTGGGGGTCCCTAAGGAGCTGATAATGGACATTCCCCACCAAAGCTTCAGAGGTGAATAGAATGAATAACTCCATGGGGGGGTCTCGGCTGAAATCTTCACAGAAGTGCATCGCCACTGGTTGGTTCAAACCAGCCTTTAGGGATCTAGCTGTTCTGGCAATCTGAAAAATCATTTCTCAAATAAGGTAGACAAAATGAAATCCCAAGCCAGTTGCCATCTGATTTAGACTCGTGACAATCCCCTAAAAGCTAGACTCCCCTGTTCCGCTGCCCCACATCTGCACCCCTGCTGTTAACGGGCAGCGCCCCCTGTGTCCTTCCCGACCTTGTCGTGACGTGACGCACCGTCATTGACTCCTGATGCCAAGAACAGGACCTGCCATCATAGCACAGGCGCTCAACTGGTCTTTGTTGCATGAATTTATTAATATGTGGAATGGATTGACGAGTGGCCATTGGTGGCTGGCTGGGTGGCTGAAGGGAGAGACCATGTAAGCTTTCGCCAGGCCTGCCCTGTGCAGCAGGAGGCTGGAGGTGGGGGAGAGCACCTCCAACCGGCTGTGCTGTGACGACCTGGCAATGAGGTGCGTGCATGGCTGGGGGGCCTGCAGAAGAGGTAACGCTGAGAGGGAGCTCTGCCCACCTCTGATTATTGCTTGAGTCTTTCTGGCAGTGCCAGCTGCCTGTCCCCGAGGGCACTGGCTTGTCCATCACAGTGTGGGCTTAGGGGGCTGCTGCCTCTGCCAGTGGGAAGACAAGAGCATGTTCTCCGGGGCTTCTGGGTCTCAAGAGAGTGGAGACAGCCCTGGTTTGGGACTCTGCTCAGCTTCTGTCTTTCTACCCTATTCGCAGGGCAGCCTAAGGGCTCTGCTGACTTGAAGACCTCATCAAGAAATCTCTGGGGTGGCCAAGGAACAAGCTGGCTGAAGGGGTTCCACAGCACCCCTCAAGCAGAGAACCTCAGATAGTTTGGTATCTGCTGAGATGGAAGCCCTTGGGAGGATGGTACCCTAATGACCAGTTGGGCGGGTGAGTAACTCAGGCCCGGAAGGAGGCCTTGACCACCCGGCCCTTCAGTGGCTGTGGTGGCCGGAAGTTGTTCACCATGTGGATCCTCTCATCGTCTTCTGAGGTAAAGAGCAGGCTCCGGAACTTCTCCATCTTGGGGAGGCAGAAGGGCGGAATGAGCAGGCTGTGGTCCTCTCTGACCCCAGGTACAATATCTAGTGCCCATCTAGCTCTGTCCCTCCCTCTTCCTTCACCTAAGGTTGGTGCCCACTGCTCCCCACTCATGCTCCTCTTTGCGCCCTCAACCTTGGTCACTAAGAGCCTCTGAATTAGAACTCTGTTCCAATCCATTTCCATTCCAATTGCTTGAACTTTCCAACACAGGGGAGGGGCCCAGGCTCCAGGGATCTCCCTTCCTGTCTAGGTCCTAAAGACTAGGAATCCCGTTGCCCCAGGTCAAGAATCTGAACGAGGACCCACCTGCCGCTCAGAGACGTAGATAGGTTCCCGAAGCACGATCCAGGTGACGCTTTCGCTCAGCGGGGGCGTCGTCAGGGAACCAGGATAAGTCCAATAGTGCCGGCTGGTGGGCAGGAGGCACTTGGGGTTGAAGCAGCTGAACTGGGCCTTGGTGCCCTAGGCGGGGGTGGGGGTGGGGTGGGGAGACCAGTCATCAGCATAGTGCTTGCTCCAGGACCAGACCACCTTCCTTCCCCACCTGTCTCTGCTGGCCGGATTTCGGCCTCTCTCAGGTTCACTGATGCAAATTATGGGCAAATGTTTGTAATCCCAGACGTCATCCTCCAACCTGGCAGGGCCCTCCACCTGTTTGCTTGGATGGAAAAGCGATGATTCTTAGCTCACTGTCCTCCGTGTCCTCTCCCTTGGTAGTTTCCGCTCCCGAAGTTCTGGGCACTGTCCCCCATGAATATGACAAGGTGCTATGATCCTACACCCGGCCAGGCTGTGGCAGGCACTACAGAGGCCACTGACCCAGGTGACACGTGGTTTCCCGCCAGATCAGAGTGACTGAGTCGATCCTGTGACCCAGCCTGTCCCTTCCTGCCTGCCAGGCTGCTCTGGATACAGGCATGGTGGGCCCCAGACCCTGGTCTCACCTTAAACCGGACCATGTAGAGAGCATCTGTCAGGCGGTTCATACTGGGGTGCTCATCTCCTGTCTGGGAGGGAAAGGGCAGCATAAGCCCAGACTGTATGCTGGTGCTGGGGGCAGGGCCAGGCCCCCCAGGCCCCACTTGGTCCCAGGTAGCAAGGACTCACCTCTAAGAAGACACCAATCACAGCCAGGCCGTCAGGTGCCGAGGCCGCCTCCCCAAAGGTGTTGTATTTCCTGGCGTTCCAATGGACCAGGTGCAGCTGCCAGGGCAACACCAGGCCAGTGCTCAGCACCTCCACAGGTGGTGGGGATCCTGAGCCCAGCTTCCTTCTCTGCCCCTAGACATCCAGCTCCTTTGTACCTGAGGCCCTGGGGGTCCCAGGTGGGCCCAGGAGAGCACAGGTAGTGGCCACCCTGCCCTGAGTCCAGCCCCTTCCTGAGCCCCAAGGGGACTCCCTCAGACCCTGCCCTCCAGTGAACCAGCTATGAGATAGATAATGGCCGTGCAGGTGACACTGCTCTGAGGAGGTGGCACCTGGAGCTGAGTCCAAAGGATAAGCAGAGGGGGAGTTATCAGATGGAGTCCTTGGGAAAGGCATTCCAGAGAGAACCAGAGAGGGAAAAGCTTGGAGCATGAAGGAGCTAGGTGTGGCCGGAGGCTCATCATAGATGGTCTCCGTAGGAAGAGGGCAGGGGAAGATGAGGCTGGGCAAGGCCGGCTCATGTGGAACCTTAAATGTCTGACTCAGAAATCATTAATAATGATGGAGAGTCCTTGAGGGGTTGTCAGCAAAGGACTGGATACGCCCTTCAGAAAACACCTCAGGCACTTGGGGCAGGACAGCAGTGGGCAGAGAGGGGTGAAGGGTCCCCTGTCTCATGCTCTGAGTCTCTCCTCACCTCCCTGGGGTCCCACACCAGGCACCCTCCATGTCCCTGACGGCCCAGCACCCACTCCCTCCCCTAGCGTCGGGACTGGGCAGAACCAGGGCCTCACCTCGCTGGGGAACGACTTGCCGTCCACCGTATGCTCGGAGCCCACGCCGTGCTTCTTGCCCCAGTGGAAGTGGAACTGCTTGAGCCGGTAGGGCCCGTCCAGGGGGCCCCCAGTCACCACTGAGGGCAGAAGTTGGGGGTGGCATTGGTGTGAGAAGACCCATGTGCCCAGTGGGCAGCAGCAGTGCCAGGACTGGGGAGGCAGCCTGGGAGGACGGTCCAGTTTTCATTTGGAAAACGTATTGGGCCAAATGGACTGAATCACCACTCAGCCCCCTCAGTCCTCGTAGGAATCAAGGAAGAGTTTCCATCGGTCTCCATGGGCAGAGAACTGGGCCCCGCCAGGGACACCTCTCCACCCAGCTCTCCTCATTCCTGCTCAATTTCTCTTGGGGGCTGGGCCTTTACCTCCCCCTCTCCGTCATCACTTGACAGGACCCCTAACCAAGTGTGAAATATTATCTTTTTACTTTTCAGAGTAGGACAGAACCTATCATTAACTCTTTAATAAAAGAGGTCATTGAGGCACAGAGAGGGTAAGGCATCTGCTCACAGTCGCACAGCAAGGCCCTGAGCTACAATGTGAGCCTGTGCCTCCTGAGTTCAAAGCCCAAGTGCCTAACCACAGGGCAGCAGTGTCCTCCACCGCCAGGACATTGGGACAGATGGAATGGGGAAGAACACCAGAGCACCCCAGGATTCACTGTCATTACAGAGGAAGACGGCCCAGGCCCTTCCACTGCCCTCTCCACACTAATGACCTCTTTGGAGGGTCCCCACTGATGCTGGTTTTGTGACTGTCCCATCCCGGTACCCAAGGCGCAGGGGCCATACACGGGGCCTCCGGGGACTGATTGAATTTCTAGCTGAAAGGGATCTGGCCTGAGAGGGCACCTCAGTCAGGCCTGAATGTGAGCCCCTGGATCAGGTGACGGCCTCAGGCTCAGAGTTCCACTGGGCCCCTCCACATGGGTGATCAGGGCAGGGCCTCGCCCGTCGGGGGCCACTTGAGGAGAAGGATGGGTCAGTCTTGCAGTCCTTTACTGACTTGCCTCATCTGAGGTACAGGCTGGTGGTGTAGACTATGCTGAGTGGTTAACCCATCACATAGGATCATCTAGGACACCTCATCTTCTTCACTGAGGGGTGTTTTTCTTAGAATTCAGTACCAGGAAATGTTTGTCTCTCCTAAGTTGCTGCCGAACATTCTCCTTTTTTGCACCAAGAACTGGAACTTATCTTCTTTCCTTTTTTCCCTACCCTACTAGGGAGCTCAGATGTTACAGGGTTGCTATGAGTTGACTCAACTCGACAGCACTTACCACCACCACCACCAGGGAACTAGTAACTAAAGATCATCTTCATTATGAAAGGTCTGCCTTTCCCTCTCCTCTGTCGTTTGATTCTCTGTTTGAAACTTAAGTGCTCTCAGCTTGTGTTGTGTGTTCAGTGGAGGAGGGTGAGGACCAGAGTTCTTTAAACAAGAAGCTCTAACTGGTTCTCTTCTTTCTCCCCCTCCTTCTCCCCCACGGGCCAGGTCATAAGGACAAAATCCCTTCTTGAGGCCTCTGCCTGGGGATTTATCATGAAAGAACCTGGACTCTAATCCCAGGGCAAAGAAGCCTCAGGACAAGCTACTGGGAGATCTTCCTCTCTCTTGACCAGGCTGGTTGGAAGCTGGAGGTCACGGGTAGGCTGGGGAGAAAGACCTTTGGAGTTGGAGCAGACTAATTCTGAAACTCCACAGCTCCTTGACGAGCCCATCCAAGAAGTGGGTTCTCAAGAGGAAAAGTATGAGCTGCTTGAGATCTCATCCAAGAGCCTGGCACACAGACCATTCCCTTTCCTGCCTGCTTGTTGTGGGTGCAATGCTTCCCATTGCACAGAGAAGAGGGGCTGGCCCTTAGCCACACAGCAGGTTAGTGATAGGCCAGGGAGTGAAGGCAGACCTGACCGGAAGCACTAAGCACAAAGGAAGAAAGTAGTTAGCATTTCCTGAGCATCCATGTGTGCCAGCACTACCAACGTCACTTTATCTTTCCGCTCTGACCCTAGAGACTGGGTCACAGAGCTCCCATTTTATGGATAAGGAGACTGAGGCTCAGTCCAAGATTTCATAGATAGTCAGAGGAGGAGCCCCTTTTCCCATCATAGCATGAGACCGCTCCCGAGTCTGCCCAACCAGGGTTAGAATTTGGGGGCGTCTGTCAAGTTCTGGCGTGGCCCACTCACCGGCTCGGTCATCGCTGTCGTTGAAGTCCACCTGGACGGAGTGGCCGTTGTTGGTGATGCTGAGGGACGTGCAGGCCTCGTAGGAAAGCTCCAGTGGCTTCAGGCTGGCTGAGTAAACAGCCTGGCTGGACACGATGTTGATGGGAGACTGGCGGTCGCCCTGGGCAATGGGACACAGCTTGTGCCACTGTGAGGGGCCTGCAGGTGTGGGGTGGGGAGGGGAGGGCTCAGACCAGCTTGGATCTCTGGAATGAAGGCTGAGGGCACCCACAGAGAGTGGTCTCCCTGGCGTCCTTTCAAGGTGAGCCCTGGCTTTGGGGCCATGCAGCCTGGCGTTCCAGCCTCAGCTCTGCCATCTCCCCTCTGAGCCTCAGTGTATTATTTTGTTTGTGAAATGCCTCACTGAACCGCACTTCCCAGGCCTGTTAATAGGCCCAGAGAGGTGAGGCATGGAATGATGCATAACCTAGCTACAGGGCAGTGCTGGGTAGAGGGTCTCCCCAGCACTAATATACACTCAAGGCCCCCAGTTCTCTGAAGCCCCAGCCTGCCCACCCATTACCAAGTGTCTGGCCTCTTCTTACACCCAGAGAGCATTAGTGTTGATGTCTGGGATAATAAGAAAAAAAGCTCCTGCCAGCCTAGCTTTCACTCTGTTATTTGCTCACTGGGTCTTTACAACCATGCTGTGAAGTAGAAACTGTCGTGACACCCATTCTGCAGATGAGGGAACTGAGGCACGTGTGCACTCACACACACACACACACACACACACACACATTCATACACATTTAGGTGTTGGTATAAACATACAGCATATCATGTACTTCCAATGACTGCCCTACTGAGAGGGCCTACAGCTCTATGGAAATCATATGTGCACACAGAGCCTGGGCTCAGCAACATATGTGTGCAAACACACACACAGCCCTGCTGACCACATCTGACACAGGCTTGTGCACTCTCATATGCAGACGCGCTGGGTTGCACACCCAGATCTATATGGCAGGTCCATAGCAAACACACACCCACACCTGCACACCCACGCCCACGGGCGCCCACCACCTGCCTCCCAGAGGCTCCATCTGCAGCTGAGAGTCTCAGCATCTCCCTGGGGAACATCCTGAGATGCAGCCTATATTTAGAGTCTCTGCCGGCTGGTGCTTCTCCCCCTTTTTTTGGCTTCTTAAGTTTTCCTGGGAAAACAGCAGCAGGTGCCGACAGAGCAGTGTCCCCGAGGGATGACTCAGAGGAGCGGCCAGCCCCGTTGGGTTATTTTTGAAGCCCTGTGAGCACTGCCGCAGGCCAGCACCTCTGTCCTTCCTTTTCTCATTGTCCCTAGACTGGAACACCGTTGTTCCTGGGCCATCCAGGTCTGCTGGATGAGGGGCAGGGCCCTGGAGGACACTGGACATCCAGAGCTTATGGGCAGGACTAGCAGGGGAGGGGCCTGGAGCTGGGCAGCACCTGGAAGCTGGTGGAGCTGTGTGTGCTGCACTTGTGGGGCAGCTATAGGGCCTAAAGGGTCAGGCAAACTGCTTCTTCTCCGCCTCTCCCCAGCTCTGTGGCCATTCTCAGAATGCCTTTTTCTTCTTTCTAGCTTCTGTATGCTCAGATCTGAGCTTCCTCTCCTTAAATATGCTCTTGTGTCTTTTTGGGGTCCCAGAAGGGCTCAGTGTCTCACTGATCCCCTCAAGCCCACTGCAAACTCCTAACCCTCAGATTTCAGCTCAACTCCACTCTCCTCAATGTAATCACCTTTTTCCCTGGGAAAGTGGGTCTGGGTCTGGGGGACGCGTCTTCCACTACCATTTTCCTCTCTTCCCGTCCCCACCTGTATTGCCTAGGTTTCCAGCTCCTCTCTCTAGCCTGGACGTTGCAAGGAAATAACTCAGGCCTGAACCCCTTCCTATCCCCCTCCCCCGACCCTGATTGGTGAGAAATACCCCAGAATGGAGTGGCTGTGCCTTGGACCCTTACTCAAGCCGTCTGCCTCTTCTCCCTTCCACTGTATACTGAGACAGGATAGAAGCAGGTGGCACACGTGGTCCCCCCTTTCCGAGGCTTCCCCCCGAATGTCTCTTGTCACCCTGCTCTAAGTGGGCACCCACATGCTTGCGTGCGCTCCCAAGTGTCCCTCACCAGTTGATTCCAGTGGCGCAGCTCTTTCCCTGGGGACACCGCGCCCTTGTCCACAGGGAGTCCGGCGCCTGCAGAGTCCCCGCCACACGCCGTGCGTGCTCCCCGCACGGACACCCGCGCACAGCGCTCCGCCCCGACCTCCCCCACAGCCCGGGGCCACAGCCACCCGGCTGCGCACGCCCCGGGGCGAGCGCGCCAGGGTCCGAGCGCGCAAGGCAGCCAAGGGCTGCGCGGAGAGGCGGCAGGGCGCGCTCAAACCGCTCCGTCAGCGGCTCGTTGGCGGCGGGGACAGCCGGGGCAGCATGGACTTTGCGCCGGGCACCGAGGAGCCAGCGCTCGGGCCGGATGGGTGATCTGGGGTCCGGAGCCGCGACTGGAGCCAGGGTGTCAGGTCCAGCCGAGAGGTGGGTGCTTGTGGGTCCAAGATCCAGGGTGGGCGTGAGGATAAGGGGCGAGATCGAAGAGGGTCGGATGGGCCAGGGTCTGCGCCTACCATCGTCCTGGCCGTAGCCCCAGCCGTGGTGGCCGGTCATGCCGCTGCTGTCCCTCGCAGCAGTGCACCTGTCCGCTTGGCTCGGTGGCGCCCGCTCGGACTGCGGCTCTGGCCCCGCTGCTGCGCGGAGCAGCCTCTTAAAGCGGCGACGTGCGGGAGGAGCACTTCCCAGGGGACCCGCCCCCCACCCCCCTGCGGGGCGAGAGGGGCCGGCCCTTCCCCGCCCGGGTCTGGGTGCTTAGCCGAGGGTGGTGGAAATGGGAAGGGGATCAAGTGGAGTTAAGACCCCTCTCCTCCACCTGCCGGGACAACCTTTCCCCAGCACGTGGATGGGCTCTGAGAAGTGACCTGCTGCGTCGTGCAGTGGGCAGGCTCTGTTCCTTGTCCCACATCCCCTCCTCTCCGCAAGTTTTAATCCCACCACGGGGGTCCTGGGCTCAAGGCTCTAATGGCACTGCCCACCCTTGACCAGAGTTGGTGCTTTCTCTGTGCTCCAGACAAAAGTCCTAAGCCTTCTCATTTGACCCTCTCAGCCACCTATTCTCTGGGGCCCAGAGGGGTGAAGTTCCTTGCCCAAGGTCATCCAGCAAGGGAGTGGGGGATTCACATACAGTTTGTTCTCTTGAAACACTTTTGTTCTTTACCACTCTGCACCCCACTCCTCACCCTCAGGGTAAAGGGACCCAATTGGTGTGGGGGTCTGAGAGTCCTGGGTTTACCCCAGGCACCTACCCCTGGCAAGGGCAGGATTAATGGAGGACAGGGGGACAATCCAAATTTCGCCCCAGGTAGAACCAGGGTTCCCAAGGAGGGAATGCCGAATGGAAAGTAACATCAACCAATGGATTTGGGGACAGACAGAAATCCCAGGGTGATTTCCCCCCAGGGCCAGGGCCAGGACCAGGGTTTGCCATCCACACCCCTCTCGTTCTCTGGAGACTCTGCTTATTCCTTTACAGCCCATACTTGTCCTTCCTCTTCCTGCTGTCCCCTGACCTTCAGCACCCATGCTCTGGCTCAGGCCCTCCACCCTGCACTCAGACACCCCACTCAGGACTGCCTTGACCCAGCATCACCACCCCAGCGAGCCCTGACCTTTTGCTGTGCCCTCCACCTGGGATGTCCTCTGCCTCCCACCCGCTGGCTGCAGCTAGCCTAATCTGATTTATCTGAGGATGTGGCCCCATGCCAAAGACTTCTCTGTGGCTAGGACTCAGCAGGAGATTTGGGGAAGACAGATGGGTGGGTGAATTAGCAATGGAACCCACCTAAGCCCTTGTCCCCCAGACTCAACAGGAGCAGGGGGGACAATCTTGTGTAGAATATTCTCTGGGCAGAGTTTAACCAGACTCTTCTGGGGGCTGTATGGGATTGATCTTGTCAAAGTGTCTTGTGTCCCCCCTGCCTGGCAGACTCACATCTCAGTGCCCGCCTCAGTTTCCCTCTCCCAGGCCCTAAACTTCAGGTCCCCAGAAAAAGCTGGGAAGATTAGTTGATGACTGATTGGCTGGACTAATATCAGTGACTTCCTAGATCTGCTGAGGTACCTCTCTCTGGTTCAAGAGTAGGAAGGACCCCTTAATAGAAATCTGACCCTGGACTGGGAAAAGGGACTCATGACAGATGCAGGTGGTATATGACAGAGATTCTCAACATTGTCAGAGGCCTAGACCACCACGCCAGGAATGCCAGCTTTGGCACCATCAGCTACCCTTCTTCTGGGGGTGTCCCAACTTTTAGGAGCCTGGGAATAAGTTCGAAATGTGTCTGCTCCACTGGCCTATTTCCTCTTTACAAGAACCAAGGCCTTTTCCAATTCTATGTGTAAAATTGCAGTTATTCATGTGGGTTTGTGACCAACTTCATCTACAGAGCCACTCTGGGAAGAATTTTCACTCCATTTTACAGATGAGGACAGGAAGGTTGATTGTTGGGCCAAAGAAAACATAGTGAGTGACAGGCTGCCCGTTCCTTTGTTTAACACTGCTGTCTACACCTTGGGAGGGAAAGGAAGTGGCTTTTCATTTGCTTCTCATTTGAGTGTATTTACACATGCAAGGACTCTTTCTGGAAAGAACATTAAGTGAAGTTACTCTTGGTAGAAGGGGCCAGTCCTCGGAAAAAGACATCATTCTGGGAAAGGTCAGGGAGAAGAGTCAGAGAGAGGGGAAGACCTTCAACAAGATGGACTGAGAATTACTAGCAGTGAGCAAACAATGAATGAGCAAGTTGGAGATGATGAGGATGGCATAAGAAAAGAGGGTTCTAATTTGTGGTTCATAGGGTTACTAGGAGTTGTAGTGGATTGAACACTGTTGCTTGTCTTCAAGGAGGCTCTGGCTCAGACTGATCCTCTATCGGACAGAACTAACCAACCCTGCCTGGCCCCCTGCCATTCTCACCTTCCCTGCTGCCTGAGCCCATTGGTGTACACTTCATTTGCCTCCAGGGAGGGGACTGACCTGGAAGGGTGGGGAGGGTGCAGGGGGCGGAGTGGGGACAGGAGGGACACTCTTTACTGCCTTTGTGCCCTTTGAAATAATTAAAGTGTATGTTACCTTTTTAACAACCAAATGAAAGCTGAGCACGTGCTATCACAGATTCAAAAAGGTCTTGCTCACAGATTGACAATGGCAATAAATTGAAGTATGGGCCCGAGGAAGGGGATCGACTCCGGGAGGATGTGATGCTAGATAAAGTGAAGGGTCAGTGAGAAAAGGAGGCCCCTTCAGGAGATGCATTGACACAGGCGCTACAACAGTAAGCACACCAACAACTGCAGGATGGTGAAGTGTTTCCTCCTGTTGTACACAGATTGGAACTGACTTGAAGGAAGTTTGGAACTAACAACGACACACCACAAGGGTGCTGCACACTTTATTTACATTATTAGCAGGCTTTCCAATCCCCGTAATGGGCTATAATCCCCTCTTTTTTTATAGCACCGCACAGTCCTTTCTTCAGTAGGAGTTAAAAAAAAATTATGGCTATTAAACTAAGGGCCTATTACAAACAAATGGATAGAGAATGGTATATTCACACAATGGAATACTACGCTGCATTGAAAAACAAGGAACTCGTGAAATATTATACAAGATGTGTGACCCTGGAGGACATTATGCTGAGTGAAATATCTCTGTCACAAAAGGACAAATACTGCATAGTGCCACTGTTGTAAAACATGACTGACA